CGAAGCCAAAAGGACTTTGCGAGTGAATGTCTGAACCCTTATGTCCGCCAGTTTTTGGTCGGATGGATTACTGTTCTGGATAGTGTTCCTGATATTGATATGCTTGGGTTTCTTCCTGATTTTCTTGATGGTGGGTATATTTTGATTCCTAACCTGAGGTTTCATTTGCTCTAGTGGTGCTTTTGCTCATAGATTTCACATATTATTGATGAAATCACAGGCTTATTTAACATGCTAAGTGATTCTAGCCATGAAATAAGGCAGCAAGCTGATTCGGCGCTTTCTGAGTTTCTTCAAGAAATCAAGAACTCTCCAGTAAGACTTATTCTAGACTCCTGCGTGCATATTTTCTACTGACGAATATGTGATGCTGCATAGTTGGTTTCTTTTCTTTTGTTTATGCTTTATAGTGATGTGTATTTTTAGAGGAATATTTGTTTCCCAATTGGGATGCTCAAATTTTTTTCCTCAAACCATGAAATATGTGTGCTTTTCTCTGTTATCCTTAATGCGGCCAACCCTTTTTTTAGGTGTATTTTACTGAGTTTGGCTTTGGTATTCATTCAGCATGCACTTGATATTTGACTGAATTTTTTGTATTCAATCAATGCCGCGATTTCTTCGTGGAGGTGTAAGTGGTATAGAATTGAGTACATTGTGCTGAATCCCATAATTAATTGCGCACGTCTAAATAATTTCCGTAGATTGTTTTCCAAAGGCTCCTTAGAAAAAAAATCAAAGGTTTCATAAATCCCACAAAACCTCCTTAGAAACAGAAAGAAACCTTTATAATCTCAAAAGGCTTTCTAAGATCACTATCACAAGATTGATGAAGTCTCTCTATTTAAGGTGTAAAAAGAGGATAAGGTAGAGATGGCAGTAAAAAATCTAAAGACAGAACCAGAAAAAAATCTAAAGGTAGAGGATATGGTAGTTGCTTCTGTATTTATGCACATGCCAGTACAAAATCTAAAGACAAAGAAACAGAAACAATAGGAAAAAAGTACTTGAATGTAGAGATGGCAACTGCCTACCCCACCAAAGAAGACAAACATATAATGAATTACTTGTTTCTAACTAAACAAAGACTCTGAAACTAAGAGAAGAACGATAATCTGGATAATAGTTGAACTACTAACTAAAGACAGAACTAGAAGATTGCCATTTTTGTCTTGTGACTTGAAGAATTTTACCATGTCCATGTCCATGTATGGCTATTTGGGACCTTGTGTCCTTCTGAGTGAACAAAATTTTATTGTTCATGCTGACTTGAGCAGTCTTACCCTTGAAGTCTGTAGATTATGGTCGCATGGCTGAGATACTGGTACAAAGAGCAGCTTCACCTGATGAATTTACTCGACTGACTGCTATTACCTGGGTAAGCATATACATGCATATAACTCCAGTGTGTCAAGTACTTTTCCAATTGATGAGTAATGTAAAATATTATGCTGAGTTGTTTGGAGTTTTCAGTTGTCTGGATGAGTTTCATATACTCTACACTGCAGATTAACGAGTTTGTAAAACTTGGCGGGGACCAACTTGTTCCTCATTATGCCGATATTCTTGTTGCAATCCTACCTTGCATATCAGACAAGGAAGAGAAAATTAGAGTTGTAAGTTTCCATTTTACTTGTCACAAAGCTTGCAATGTATCAGTTGCATGCGTTACTTTACCTCCTCTTTTTAGATTGATGTTTCAAATGCTATAAAATTCTATTTACTTCAGGTTGCACGTGAAACAAATGAAGAGCTTCGGGGAATCCAAGCTGATCCAGCTGAAGAATTTGATGTAGGAGCGATCCTTTCTGTAGCTAGGAGGTAACTGCCTTATGTCCTTATGTAGTTACGCTTGTATTGATTGCTTTTGAGGAGAGCCTTATAGAACGAGATCAAGACATTTGGTGTTATGATTTGTTTTTTCTTTTCTTTAAGTGTACTGCTAATCACAACGTATAATAGTAGATTAGTGGAATAGCGGGAAAGTCTAATTTTTTCATATGTATATATCAGACATCTATCCAGTGAATGGGAGGCTACACGTATCGAAGCACTGAACTGGATATCAACACTATTAAGTAAACGTCGGGCAGAGGTAGTCATTTCATTTTCCATAAATTATATTCCATTAGGAAAACTTCTTTATTCCAATGAAATTGTTGACATGGTCTGCAACTTGCATATGTTTCCATGCATGGTGGCCTCATAGTCCTACTAATTATTGAATGTTTTGCGTCAATTATATTTGGGCTGTCATGAACTTTTTTCTTCATTTTCTTATTTGGCCAGGTTCTATCATTTCTGAGTGACATTTTTGAAACACTCTTAAAGGCACTTTCAGATCCTTCTGATGAGGTATCTTCTTGCACTCCTTCCAGTTATTCTCTTAAACGCTCGCTGTGAGATCTTTTTGGAGCATATAAGATGTTAATTTTAGTTTGGAAATAAGTTATTGGAATGTTTGGATGAAACAAGACCATGGAACTTGTAAGATGTCAATAACGATCATTTTTTTTTATGGTCAGAGTAAAGGAGTTCTATTAGATCTCCAGACATAAAGTAGGAATCCCTTACTTGTTATTTGAAGGAACTTATAAGATTCTCCTAACATCTGGAGATTATAAGTCGATTTCTTATAATTCTTTTACCACACATTCTGTAATATCTCAGAAGCTTTTAAACATCTTATAAGATATATTATTGATGGAGCTAACAAACTAAGCTAGAGATCGTCGTAACCTTTCTTTTTCATTCTTGTTTGTGGAGGCATTTTGGAAGTTATATTAAGTTCTTATATTTTTTGTGACTTCTTTTGAATTAATTAGTAAAGGGTTCGATGAATGGAAGAATTTCAGGGGAATTTGATTTGTTGTTAATCTTGCAATTCCTCTTTCTTAATTCAACACAAGTCTACAGGTTTTGTGCACTCTGCATGGATATCAAAGAATTCAGCAACTTTATCTTGTTATTCATTGTTTATTTTTGTGAAGTATTCAACAATTTACTTTTATTCTTTTCCTAATTATTATGATTTCTTTTTAAATGGTTAACTCTTTTTTCTAAACGTCCGAGGACGATGAAAGTTCTCTGCTTGTTTAATGTTGGTTTAAAAGTTTAAAAGTACAGTACCAAGATTTCGTATCAAAAGAAAATAGTAACAAGATATAGTCTTCTCTAAGATCTGCCCCAAAATATTATTTGGTCTCCTTATCATCTGCTGGGTTACTCTCCAGTGGAATGGCTTTCTGTACTTATTTAGACTACTACTCTCCTCTCTGTTGGAGAATGAGTGGATGATTACAATTTACTTTAACTTGCTACTCGCCCGTATGAGGAAATATGTGAATGGAGAACTGTATATCATTTTCCTTGATTACGATTAAAATATCTGAGTGTCAATCGTTTCATAATTGTTTTTTTTTTAAAAAGCATTTACCTGAAGCTTGGTCTTACAAAGCAGGACTGTTAGTTTTAACTGGGTGGTCTTGTTTCTTCGCATTTTAAAGAAGATATATAAGAGAAAATTATTTCCTCAAATGTGCATATCCTGGATATATGGTCTGATATATCTAAGAAAACACGGGAATCTAAGAGAACAGGACTCTAGTCTGTATGTTGTGAATTTTCTCGAAATTTAAATGAGCAATATCTATTCAGTTTATTTCACTGTCACTAGTGTAATAGCCAATGCCTTGTAGTAAACAAATTTATAAATTCACTCCTTTCAGGGTCAATTCTAAGTTGCAAAACTAATTGTCCAGGTTTTACCGTGCTGATTGTGAAAGCTAAATCCATATTCCAAATTACACTCTACCTTGTCAGACACAATGCTTCCTCACTAATTATTCTGTTGAAATCTACATGAAATATAAAGAACCAGGATACATGATATATTTTTAGGAAGTTGCTGGTGTTCTTCCCTTTTGATGCTGGACCTCCTTAAAATTGTAATTTGGATCCCACTATTTTGTCTAATACTGTCCGATAGCCGAGCAAGAATGCAGCGCTAAACTGATGCATTGGGTTTAGCTTATATGGGTTTTTGGTTGCATTTGGATGTCTAAGTTTTACAACTAAAAAACCTTAGTTTGGTATTGCGACTCCTATAATTTGAACCTGAAATATATTTAGTTCGCTGGCAATCAAAACAAGTTTGATTTGATTTAATACGGAGATGAAAAGTGAAGCCCTTCTGCATTATGTTTCTTGCTGAAACTTTCGATTATAGATGTCTTATGATCTATATTCCCTATTACAAAGTTGACTTCGATGTTGCTCTGACTTCTTCCTCTTATGTATCTCCTCTCAGGTAGTGCTTTTGGTACTTGAGGTCCATGCACGCATAGCCAAAGATGATAAACATTTTCACCAGCTCATCGTTTATTTAGTTCAAAATTTCAGGGTCGACAACTCTCTCTTAGAAAAGTGAGTCCTTTAGCTATGTTATTTGTCTATGCTGGAGTTGTAATTATGTGTGATGCTTTTTGTAGTTGAATAAATCTATCTTGTTCTATTGCAGGCGGGGTGCTTTGATTATCCGTAGGTTATGTGTACTCTTAGATGCTGAGAGAGTTTATAGGAAGCTTTCCACTATACTTCAAGGAGAGTCTGATTTGGAGTTTGCATGTACAATGGTGCAGGTATTATGTCATTCCAACATGTCACATCACTGTGTTTTACATTGTATATAGTCAGTCACCTTTAGAACCCAGTAGTAGATAATGGATATTAGTTCGAATGCAGTGACCCAAATTTCCGCTTCCAATTTTCTCTTTCAGGCTTTGAATTTGATTTTGCTCACTTCATCTGAGCTGGCTAACCTTCGGGATCTACTGAAAAAATCCCTGTTCAATGATGCTGGAAAAAACTTATTCCTCTCTTTATATGCATCATGGTGCCATTCACCAATGGCTATTATTAGTCTTTGCTTATTGGCTCAGGTAAAAGCTTTATAGTTTGATTAGCTGTGTTATTGTCTTTTCCGTTCCTGTTATTACCTTTCTTCCTCTTTAGTAATGGCACTCTGTGCTTTTTGCTCTCTTTTGGCATCATTGTACAGACTTACCAGCATGCAAGTTCTGTCATTCAGTCTTTGGTTGAGGAAGATATTAACGTGAAGTTCTTAGTCCAATTGGATAAATTGATCCACCTTCTGGAGACTCCTACTTTTGCTTACCTTAGACTACAGGTAATTTGAAATGGATGTATTTGACAGTAGATGAATAAAGAGCTTCATTCATGATATTGGTTCACACATTCAATATCCACATGTGCATTTATTTGTAAGAAGAAGATATCTGAATATGCTCTTAACTTCTAGCTGGCTAATATGTGCCTTTGTAGGGCACAATATCCATTATGTGGTCTGTTTTTCTTTTATGTGATATTTCTTTCTTTCTTGGAATTTAGTTACCCTCAGCTCTTAGTCTCATTTACTTTGGTGAAAGTGGATTAATGTTTCTTCAGTTATCACTATTTGTTTTGCTGTGTCTAAAATTATGCAAGAAGCTCAATCAATTTGATATGAATCATTTTCATGTACACTTTTAAAACCTAGTTAATTTTGGTTTGTTGTAGCATTAGTTGATCAATCACTTTATCACTTTTCTTGTTTTATGTGTTTTCTTAATAAATTCTATCATATCGAACGAAGTAATTGTCATCACATCACGATCTTGTTTTCCTATTATAGCTTCTTGAACCGGGAAGGTATATATGGTTGTTGAAAGCATTGTACGGTCTTCTGATGCTACTTCCTCAGGTATGTGTTGACTAGGTTCCTTGTTTGTTCATTGTGCTTGAAACATCAAATCAAGTCACTGTTCTCCTTTCTGCCAAAACCTTCGACTGTTGTAATAATTTTTCGTTTTCTGTACGTTTTGTGTCAAAAAGAACTCCTTTTCAAGGCTTTTTCTTTTGTCAACATGTGACCTGCTAGTTTCTTCTCTTCTTTCTGTTAGATTTTTTGCTGATTTGACATGTGAAAAGCGTGTCCCAACTCTTGATACAGTGTCTGAGTGAAAAAATCTAGCCAGTTGAGCAACCTTTCTAACGTGTACATGGCAAAATACATTGATAAATAATTTTCATAGATCCATTTTCATGTGTTTGTGTTGACGGAAATAAATAACCTATTTCATTGATTCTGCAATTTGAGGGCTCTACACTTCGTTTTCTTTGAATGCAAAGTTCATTCATGTTAGTTTTGCTATAATTCGCACTTCTACACATGCATTTTGCTGCTCTCTGATTTATTTCCTTTTTACCCTTCACTGCAGCAATGTGTAGCATTCAAGATTCTCAGGACTCGATTAAAAACCGTACCTTCATACTCCTTTAGCGGTGAACAATTCAAGCAACTGTCATCAGGAAATGCTATTCCGGAAGTTAACAACTTTGTCGGATCACAAGTTTCCGAGGAGGCTGCTGCTACAAAGGAAGATCAAAAGAATGTGCATAATGGAATAAACTTTGCTCAATGGCAGCAGCAGTTTGAGAAAGTCCAGGAGCAGCATCGAGCCCATTCCAAGTCTGAAGCACTATCTCGTAGCAATTCTACTTCGTCCGCAAAGGTTTGTCATCTCTATATAACCTTTTTTCTTTTTCTTTTAATTACTTCATGTAATTGTCGTCTAAGAGAAGAAATGGTTTAAGAAATATACTTCAATTCCTATTTTAGGCAGTTCAGGCCTTCTTTTATATTGGAACTATCAACATAAGGGGGCCCATCTCGTTTTTTTCCCCATTATGTAATATATTGTAAAAATGAATTTTATTTATACGTGGTATTTCCTATAAGCCTAGAATACGAAATCTTGTGTTGAAGTCTCCATAACATCTATCTTTAATTGTTCAGGAAATGCAAAGACCAGAAGAACCGAAGAGGCCTTTGCCAGCGGCAGATATGAACAGACCTCCATCAAGATCTTCGCGCAGAGGTCCCGGACAACTGCAGATTTAATTATTATTATCAAGGTTAATATATACATCGATCGACCTCAGTATTGAAAAAGCCCAGTGAGATTCAATCGCCGAAGAAAGAAAAAAAAATGTAAATTGTATATTCCAGTAGCTTCTTTAATTGAAAGACGAGTGTTTTCGGGATGGTGGGCAGTTGGATTTATTATTACTTAGCGTGCTTGGATGTTGCCAAGCAATTATTATTATTATTATTTATTAATTTTTTTTTCTTTACTGAAAAGAGATGATATAATACCCCATGAGGTTCTGTTGTTTTTATTGGAAAACCAATAATGGGCAAGGTAGATATTTAGGGATTTGAATTTGAGTTTGTGTCGATGATTATTTAATTATAACTCATAATTCTCCTGCTACAACCGATTATTAATAAATAGACTTCTATTTTGTGCTGTTTCTCATCTTTTTTGGGTTTTCTCATTCATTTAGTTTTATAGATTTACATAAACATTGAGATTTCTAGCAAGCCAACTTATTTGCTTACATATTAATGAATTGTGATTGAATACATATGTTCGTCCTAATTAGTAATAAACTTCAAATTGGTGACCATGACTTTTTTGAGGATGTTGTGATTTCATAATAGTAATGTTACGTTGACTTTTTCTTACTTGTTTATAGCTAAAATGCCATTCCACTATCTATATCACTTGATTAAATTATTTCTTTATAACGTAGTGTTTGTTATTTTGTTAAACACACTATAAGTAGTTGGTCATCAAACAAACATAGAAGTTTAGGGGTTATTTCTATGCTACAATGGGTAATTTTTTACGGTTGATATACACACACCAATGTGGGTGTGTATATGAATGATATAGATGTACTCGGTGTATTTCACCCGAATAAACCGAAGTTTAGGGAACTAATCACATACATCCCAAAACATTTGGGAGATTATTACAAACAAAGAAATATAGAAGTTTTTGGTTTCCAAAAAAAGAGATTTACTGTTGACTATAACGGTGACTCCTATTCCAAGTAATTGAACTCTATCGACCATGTTTGCAGCTGTGGGTGTACATACAACTATCACTTCGGCGATTGGTTGCAAAATTGCAACCAATTCGTGAATGTGGAGTGTATGTGGAGTGCAAGTTACCCTAACAGTACCCTAGCAAGAGGTGCTTGTGCAGCAATAGGAGGATGCTTCATCTTTGAAAAGAAAAAAAACATCAAATTCTGGTGCGCCAATAGAACCAATTGTAAAATTGAATTTCGATCTGAGAGAATATGTAATCGAAATTACCTGCTGCTGTTGTTCAGGAGCCATGGGAACACTGCAAATGTAGGAGATATCTGACCTGCTATGAAATTGTCAAGAGACAAATCAATCAGTGGAGAATCACAAATTCACGATAGAGAGAGAGACGGAAACTAGTAGAGAGAAAAGAGAGAGAGCGATAGAGAGAGAAGACGAAAACCAGTAGAGAGAAGAGCAGAAGAGAGAGATAGAGAGGAGAAAAAAATCAGTAGAAAGAAGACATAGAACGTAGATGAGAGACCAAGCGAGACGAGGTCAAATGAGCGGGAGAGGTTAATTTTCATGTTCGATGTTTACTATATATATATGGACAACAAATAAAATAATCTATACTATATATAAAAGTGCGGGAATAGTTAATTTTCATGTTCGATGTATATATATATATATATATATATATATATATATATATATATATATATATATATATATATATATATATA